AATGGCAGGCGTCTTGATGGTTATCATTAGCTCTTTAGTTATTTTCTTAATATTTTTTTGTAGCTACATAGTTAGTAAGAATGGATAGCAGCATGGAGCCACCTTTCTAAGAGATTCAGACATATTGGTCTTAACTGAAAAAATAAAAATGTGAATTTGAGTAGTAAAGAGGCTATTAATGTTTTTTGCTTTGGAAAATGCATCGTATTCCCAGTTAGCATTCCTGTAATGACTTGATTTAAGGTGAACCACTAACCACTCAGGCATTGTACACTAAAACGAATGCTGAATCATCCGTTATGTCTCCCCCCCCCCCACCCCACCCCCTCCTCCATTTATCTTGGATCCCTCCAGCAAGCAACTCGCACGTAGTAACTTGCATTTGGCCACCCTAGATTTTTCTCCTGCTATATCTGAACCTAATTATAGGAATTCTAGAAGTGCTTTAAGTATGCCTCTTAATTCATTTCACTACACAGTGGGTGGTATGTGAATTGCAATTGTTAATTACATTTGTCCCGTTTTGTTGCATTTCGTTGAGAAAAGCCTTCGAATCCTCTCCCCCCCCCCCGTTTGTTGATTGGTCGCTTCATCATCACTTTTTTTATTCTACTCGATCCAAAGAAACCGATCTGTAAAGTTGGTATTAAAATGTAGCTGGGCTGATAAATGAGGTTGGGGAGGTACTTTCGGAATGAATGGTAAAAAACGTTTTCCCTTCATCTCAATGAGCACCCGTAAAATGGGCGGGGGGGGGGTTGTTCGGGTAATTTCTTCTCCCCGTTATTGTAATAATTGTGGTGAGTGTAGTGCTCTCTGAATGCTTGTTTTTGTTGGCAAAATCTAATTACAAAGCAGATCCTCCCACTCTCCCCTTCATATCTAAGGTATAGCGTAAGTTGAATTGGCGGCAAATACGCCATTCCAGTTCAATTATTAACCCCGTTTCCAAGTTCCAGATGCAATTCCATTTGAATTGACCATTTAGCCACTGGTCCACCTTTTCAATTAGAATGGCTTAGCTATCCTGTTTACAGTGACCTCATTTGCCCCCCCCCCCTCCCCCCACATTCTGACTGGTCTCGTCCTGACTGTCGAGTGATTAGTGGGTGCATCATTTAGAGGCACTGCGATTTTTTTAAATCAGCTGGCTTTCAAACTTCTATGAGCGTCTCCACTGATTTATCTCTCCTATCGTTACAAAAAGCTTTTAGCAGGCTTTAGACGCCATTATCTTCGTACGCAAAAACATCGTTTATGGTGTAATCGGCTACACCTCACTCCGATTTCATATCACCTTGATAGGTGGTTACTGTGCACTATTGACTCGCGGTAATATCGTTGTTAGCGAATGCAGTAGTCACGTTTTCGGTGGCCATAGTACTGGCTGTTAAGGGTTACTCCTCGGCCGCAGTTGAGTGTTGTAAACGACCTTCTAGATGGAGGTGGGGGTGGGGGAGGCCAATTCTAAATTTAAATCTTTTTGTTCTCTTATATCATTAGGAACGTGGAAATTGGTAATCTTGAGTATTAATGGCCGACTTAATAGTTAGCACCATGTAAAGTAGCTTTACAAAGCACACAATGGATTCGGTTTTTCGCTTACATATTCTGTGAAGATAAACTCATATGAAGAAGGAAGAAAGCTCTCGAAAAAGCTGCCTTCTTTTACCAATTCTCCTTCTAATGAATAGTCAGTTGGTATTGTATAGAAAATGCTATTTTGATGCGTAAATCTCGTTCATTCTTTCTTTTTTTGTTATTCATTTGAAATAAGTTCTGGAGGTCGCTTCTGTATGGGTGTTAACTTCTAAACATAATTTCCTTGCACTGCCTTCTTGTTTCGGTAACTTCCTTCACCAGTATCTAAGTTCATGTCACTAATACTGAATGTGAACTTGCTCATAGCGTTTTTATTTTGCATAAAAAGGACGAAATGGCACGTTGGAACCTGTCCAATCGTCTCTTTGCCTCACTTGTAAGTTAAGTTGAGTGGCTGGCAATGCACATCGATAAAATGAGACCACACTTTAAAGTAATTCACTCTCATACATGCATCGGTACTAGCTTCAGGTTTATTCGAATCTCCCCACTCGTTATTTTTGAGTTTGCAAATTCCAAAGTTTAGTCATCAACACTTTGATAACATCTCTCGTCAATCAATTTAATGCGAGAGTCGTTCCAAATGTACGATTTGAGTTGGGGGGGAGGGGGGTGAATAATCTGCAACTTTTAATGTGAGCTTTGAGGTTTTCGCCCTTGAAGGTAAAATTTTCAGATCTATTTGCGACAGACGTTCTTTTTTTCCCCATTGAAATGTCACTTTCAAGGTTGATGTTGGGTATTTTCACCCATCTCGATTTGCATCAGAATATAATAGTACTGGGTGATCGCGCCGCTCCCATATTTAAGAAGGTTACCAGTGAGGTGATACTTGAGTCAACTTGTTTGCTACTTCTTCTTTTTTGTAGCAGAAAGAAGAGTACTTGGGATATGTTAAAGATGTATTTCCGCTAATTTTTGTCCATTTTGCTTTTCACTTGCTAGATGCTATCGCTATGCTCTCCTAGTTCCAAGAATACTTTGCTTATTTCATTGAAAATGTTTAATGTGTTTCAGTTGTGATTGTCTCTACCTGACAATTTCTTTGTCCGTCATACAGCAATGACCTCATTAGGGAAATTCAATATCTTTTAGTGCTTGGTAACTTTCTCCTCGTGTGCAAAGCAAGAAAACTATGGCAAATAGTGTTCTCTCAAAATGCTTTGTATTTTTGTATTGATTAATGAGGTTGATGATAAATATCGCAAAGCCTGTCATTTGAAATGATTATTGATTAGTAAGGTCCCATCGAAATGAATGCCTATGCTAGTTTACTTTCCTCTGAAAACTGCCCTCATATTTGTCAAGGGAGGACGTGTCAAAGTAACCCTCCCTAGTTCAGAGTGAGTGGATGGAAGGTGCTTTGGAGGCACTCTTATTTCTGTCACGGTTAGCGCATTAGGACTTCCATGTTGATCATCCCAAGGTTAAGATGGTTTCTGGTGAGTTTGCTGGAAAACTTCGTTTGGCACTCACTATATTCTCAATTCTTCAATGAAAAGGCTAGCATTGGGAAGTAAAATGTGGTTAAGAAGTAAATCATTTTAATGGTTGATGAAGGGAAGAAGAGTGACTGGACGAATTGGTGGGGGGGGGGGGGGGGCAAAAGAGTCGAGCTTTGTTAAAGTTTTGTGATTCGTCAATCTATCTTATCTTTTAATACGTCATGTCTCAATGTTTCAAAGTTCAAACTTCAGGATTCTGCCTCTTAACACCTGAGTGAGTTCTTGTTAGCTATTCCATTACCTCTTCCATTAACCCAATATCAACTCGTTAATTCGTTCTATCATTCAAGGCATATGAGATTCGGTTCATTGCCAACTTTGGGGGTATCATTGCGTCTTTTTGAGCATTATTATATTGTCTTGTTCCAACCTCTCAGTTTAGACACCCTAAATTCTCACTTTTATTGAATTTGTAAACATTTTATTGAACTTTTAACTCCATTGGACATCTATTTTGTTTATATATCTGGCAAGAATTGTCGGCATCGCAATAATTCGCGTGTGCTTTCCTTTCATCTCTTGATCTACCTCCTGGCAAGCATCAGCTTCTCCTACCCATGTTGAAACAAGAGCCGATTATCTCTGTGGGCGTGGTCGTCAGAGGTCATTCGAGGCCATTTTCAAGTTCATACATCATTAGCGCATTTACCAAGTTGTTAAACATTACACGTTAGACTGAAAATGTTGTTGGAGCTTATTATGAAGGTCTTATAGTGATATGGCTTTTTTCAGAGTATACAGTATTCTTTGCACAGCAGGACTTTGTGAGTCGGACTTATTTTTTCAAGCTGTGAAATGGTTCATGTCATAAAACCCCAATAAGGGCAGTGAAGGTATGCTAGCTGATGTTTGGCGCTCGTATGCTTTCCCCTTTCTTTCCTCTCTCGCTCTCCCCCCCCCCCCCCCCCCCTCCCTCTTTGTGCACTGCCGCGTGCTACAGTCACGTAGCACTCTTGTGTTGAATATGCAGTCATAGCCGTGGTATACACTACTGATAGATTTCAGCAACCTCACGTTTCACATTTTATTGCGAAATTTTTCAGAGAAGGATAGCACTGTACCATAAAAGACTTCCCTGCATCTTTTCTATAAGCATTGGGAAATCTATAAAAACACCAGCGGATTTGAACTTTTGCATAATTTTTCTTGGCGGTCATTGGATGGATTTGTAATTCACTCGAACAGCTTTTTCCGTCTTTATTTGACGCCAATAATTTGATTAGTTTTGGAACGCTGCCTTAGAAGGCTCTATTGATTCCCTTTTTGGGTCATACATATCTGTTGTCACTGTATTGATTATGAATCTGGGAATTGTTAACAGAGGACTCTCACGTTTCATTTCTATACGTGTTCCCTATTTGACTGAGGTTTTTTAGCAGTTATTTGCAGTAGCAAATTATAAGTCTAAATTTAGCCCCACGCTTGTGATCAGTTGGTTCCAAAAGGGTTGATGGAGGCGGGGGGTGGTTGCTTTATTGTCAGTCGGTTACGAATATCCCTAGTGGAAGTACTTTTTAACCGGATCCGCTTTTGTTAGCAGAACTAATTTTATTGGCGTTATATTAGTGCTTTGCCTTATTAATTTCTGGCTTTGTTCATCAATCTCTAAGTAGTGGTAAGCATGTGAATCCCAACCTGTCTTGTGTCCATTCTCTTTATAGAATGAGGGTCGAACACCACCTGGTGACTATGGATGTTTCATTCCCGAGACACCGAAAGATGTTTACGCTCAACGTGATCCGCCTCTTCTATTCAAACCCGGTAACGTTTCTGCTCCCGGAATTGGTTCCATCACTCAACCACCTCAATTGCCCACTCAGCTACTTCAGGTATGTGTCTTGCAAGCATGTGTATGCTCATTTAAAATATGATAATATAGTAATAAAGACGGCAAATATTATAATACTTGCAAAATCGAATTTATTTGGCAAAAAAGTAAGAGTTTGGTCTTCAGGATACAGAATTGTTTTCTCTCATCTCTTCATTGTCCTAAGAACCTATGCTGTTGGTTTTCTTTAAGGGTTTCCGATTAGAAGTTGAGTCACTCAGGTGGTGGTGGTGGTGTGTAATAATTTCTAGAGGGGATTTATGTGTTGGACGCTTTATTTGAGCAATTATAAATAGGCCCGCTTAAATGGCATTTTAATGATCTGTTATAATTGGTTGAGCACTAATTTTGCTCGTCGGGTTTTTATTTGTTAATCAAGAAGTCAAATCATGTTGTAAATTAAAATAGCACTTGTCTTAATCTTGTTTGTTCCTATTCACATTTTAAATGAGCTGGGTTTTCGTTCTCCCATTCCACTGTTAACCCTTTAACGCCCCCAACTGTTTTTTGTGCTCTCAAAAAGCTTTTTCCCACTGTTTTCCCTTCTATTATGAGTCTATTACCAATGGAAACTATTTTTTTAAGGAGGACCGTACGGCTCTACAGGCCATTATAGGGTTAGCAAGCTCGTCCACGTGGAAAAGTTTTGAATTGCGACTCCTTTTTTGAATGCTCACATTAGAACTGCAACTTCTCTCTTGTTTCTAAATGAGTTTACTTATTTGGCCAAGTGTGTGCCTCATTTTTAACGATGCCGGTCATTAAATCGGGCCAATATATATAGATGGACTGAATTAGAATCTCTCTAAGGAGGTTCCATTCTATCGCATTACTCAATATTGGCTTGAGAATTATTACTATTGTCACTTTAAAACTTAAACAATTTCATCAGATGGATTATTCATGTGACTCCATCAGTGTTTTAGAATTTATTTAGCTCTCATGACTCTTTGACCTCTCATATCCCATATATGGCTTTGCGTTTTGCTTTCAACCCCCCTTCCCTCCTCCCCCACCCCCCACCCCCCACTTCTTGATACGATATGGGAGACTGGGCAATTCTAAATGAGTAATTGGAATTTCGATAGCATAAATTGGCTTTTTACTGCTAAAGCTGAAATGAAATAGTTTCACTGCTTGCAAAATTAATTCTATCCAATATGCGCGTTACTATTGTATTTTGTTATTTTTTGTTCTATTTTCAAACAGTTAGTTATTGAGAGCGAAATTGTCCCCTCATTGTTCTGGAGTTCAGACTGAAAGTCTGGAACTCCTCAAAGTAGCTACAACATTGAAATATTTTGTTAAATCCTTAATTGGGGCTCTATGGGTAATGATTTACAATCGAGCCCTTTTCAGGACCTAAAACATGTCTTGAATTCCCTTCATCCTTCGTCATCAAGTCTTTGCATTGATATGACCAACAGTATCATCATTTCCAATTAGTCATTCCACGACCTCGTGCCTCAGCGTTTTCTCTACGGTTTAGATGCGGGCTTGTATAGTTATGCATTGAGTGGGGGTGGGGGGGGGGGGGAGTTGGTCTAAATCGAACGATTTCAGTTTTATCTATTACGACGCCTCTACTGCATTCCTGTCTGTTGAAGCTTAGTTGTGAAAACTGCACTTGATATCGACGTTATTTTAAAGTGAAGGCTTTTGGCTCATTTGCACTTTTCAGTGCCGGTTTTGAAAAGTAAGTACAAGCTCGTCTGGTGGTGAAAGTTGGCTCCCATTCGTAAGTAGACAAGTTTAAAATGGGAATTAATGCCTGTCTCTCTTGCTTGGTCATGAGGTTTTGCACTCTATTACCCCCAAAACTTGTCACTCAATACTGTGTTGTAATTAAGGTATAGTAGACTCTGTTAATTCAGTTATATGGTAGAAATGTGTATTATATGCGTCGTGATTCTTGATCATGTGCATAGCGGGGCATGTTATATAATTTGAGCATAAAAAATTAACTGAATTTAAATTTCATTAATATTTTTGCTTATCCAATTTTCTTCTTCATTAGGTGAAATAGAATTTCATTTCGAATGATTTATTTATACGACTGGTGCCGTTTACCTATCGTCAATAACACTTAAGCGAAATTAATGTGGCGACGTGGGTGTATTGAAGTATAAACTTTAGCCGATGGATATAAGGATGTGTGGTGTTGAGCTTATAACATTTAATCCTTTAACGCCTGATTTATTTTTTGAAAAATGCACTCACGTGTGTCCCACAGAGAAGACTGTTACCGCCGACTTGATGGGTTTTGGTGGCGTATCAGGCGTATGCCACATGGACACGTGTTGAACATGTTTCAAACACCAATAGCGCCGCTTCTTTTACGAGTCTAGTACCAAAAAAGCTTATTTGGAAAGAGGACCGTACGGTCTTGCAGGGCGTCAAATCCATCACAGAGCCAATAGGAGATCAATATTTCCCTGTGTTATTATCCCAGGGGACGCAGGTCGAATCATGTCGATGCATGTTTGAAGCAGTTTACCTCACACGGTGAAGGCTTAGTATTAGTGTACTGGCTGCCATTTACTCGCATATTTAACGATGACTCAGCGTTTCGCCATAAGGGTCACACTCTACCCCCTCCCCCTTCTCCGTTATCGTCCATTTCCTTGCTCAGTCCTTACGAGATTATGGGATTAAAGGGAAAGTTCACATTTCCACTGATCGAAAATTTGGACCTTGAGCTAATTGCCAGCTAATTTCATTACATTAAAGCTTCAAATTTGCAGAAGGAAACGCTCTTCAGAATAACATTGCCAGATTGGTTTGCATTTTATTTAATAGCAAAATAGTTCTCATGATCCATCCAACTCAATTTAGATACAAGTTTTCCTAAACAAGTGCTAACAACTTCTTTGCCATATGCTTCTGTTATCGCCATTTTTAAGTGATGTTCTTTGGGTAAATCGGTTGAAGCTCGAAGATGGCTCCTGTGGTCAGATTTAGGGAAGGTTGGAATGCTGAGTTAAATTGTTTTTTTACCCGACCCTCGTATTGGCAGCGCGAAGTCCTTCAGAATATTCAAATGTGTGGGCTATTTTATCTGCCAACATCCAAGTCTTAAGCCCTGGGTCAAATGAAAAGCATGGAGTTTAATTTTGCTATAATGCATACAAATTCTGCGTTCTGCACTTGGTGATTTATTTTATCCAATATATTTATTTATTTATATCAAATGGCAGGCGTCTTGATGGTTATCATTAGCTCTTTAGTTGACTTAAGGCTTCATAGAGGGGAAGGAACATCAAAGTGAAAAATAGTCAAGAGGGGGGGAACAGAAGAGTTTTTCAAAGATGTAAAAGAGACAGTCACAATGGTAGAGAAAAAGGTGAGGTGAGTACGGTGGAGGATGTCGAATATGACATACACTGGGGTCATGGTAGTTTGAAGTGAGAAGTCAACTGCCGATCAATAGATTTTTTTGCCGTATGAGTAAACGTTGCCCAGGGAGCACCACGTGGAGGTAAGTCTATCGCACACCCCACTTTATCCAATATCATTGTTTTCTTAAGGTCCGTCTATTATATCTTTGAGT